ATATTCCATTTTTTCTCCTGATTATGTATTTATTTGGAGACAGGGTCTGGCTGTGTTGCCTAGGCTAGGGTGCAGTGACACTGTCTCGGCTCACTGCAACCTCGACCTCCCAGGCTCAAGCAATCCTCCCTCCTCCCACCTCAGCCCCCGGAGTGGCTGGAAGTACAGGTGCATGCCACCATGGCCAGCTAACTTTTGTATATTTTTTGTAGAGACAAAGTTTTGTCACATTGCCCAGGCTCCTCCTGATCATTTCTACTGCCACTACATCCCTCTGTATATGCTTCCCCATCATCTCTTATCTGGATCATCAGAGAATTTCCTGCTACTCAACTTTGGGCCCATTTGTTTTGTTTCTTTTTTACTTTTTGCTAAAATGACATACCAGTTTATGCTACTCTTCAAAAACCTTTGCTGCTTTTGAGTTGCTGTGGGTGGGGAGGGGGCTGTGGTGGGGAAAGGAAGCTTCTGTTCTCTACCGTCAACTTGTTTCACGCTCTCCCGAGCATGCCACATGCCCTTCTCTTTCTGTAACCCTGCTCTCTATGATCTGGAATACACTTTTCATCAAGAACCAGTCCAAATGCTACAACTTCCTCTGAGCATCTTATACATACAATTTCCCTATTCATAAGCTCCTTTTATTTCTGTTTTAGCATCTATTTTAATCTACTCTGGATTAGGACTGACTGGTTTCTCCCATTAGATTCTAAAATCCATGAGGGCAGTCATCTCTGCACTCTCTTAATGCTGATCTGTTTCGCATACAGTAGATATTTAGTAAATGCCGAGTTGAAAAACATGAAAGTAGGTTACTTGAAAACATCCAAAAGAGGCTTCTGTTTTAAAACATTGGCCATTATGTTTTGTGCTGTTTTTGTAAGACAGACAAGCTAAAATTGATTCTGCTTTCTTCAATTATTGACCCCAAGGCTATACTTTGAACCCTGACATCACCAGTAAAGGAAGTTTCTAATTTAAAAATCCTGTTCTCTTACCATGTCTTTCCAGTTTATTTCAATTAAAATGCCAGCCTGTTGACCTCATCATACTATCCTGTCTACCTCTTCTTGTCCTCCCTTTTTTCTTTACCTATAGCCCATCACTATAATTAGAGATCATAGTCCATCATTATACATCATAATGTATTTGCATTTTATTTGTATTTGTAAAAGTATTTACAACATATTCATTTAATTTATTTTGAGACAGAGTCTAGCTCTGTATCCCAGGCTGGAGTGCAGTGGTGCAATCTTGGCTCACTGCAACCCCCGTCTCTGGGGTTCAACTGATTCTCCTGCTCTCAACCTCCCAAGTGGCTAGGTTTACAGGCGTGCACAGCCACGCCCGACTATTTTTAGTAGAGACGGTGTTTTACCATGTTGGCCAAGTTGGTCTCAAACTCCTGGGATCTGCCCACCTCAGCCTCCCAAAGTGTTGGGATTGCAGGTGTGAGCCACCTTGCCCGGCCTACAAATATTTTTAAATCTCACGCTTCTCCCTCTTTTGAACTCATAAACTCAAATTCTGATGAACTCAATCTTCTGCTTTCTTGTTCCTTTCAACTTAACAGCTGAAAATTACTGGGGGAGGAAATCATGCATTCAAGTAGACGGTTGTCATTTCAAATATACTACTAATCCAAGTGAACAATCCAATTTTGCCTAGCAATCTTAGCCGTGTTCCTCTAATCAATACTTCCCTATTCTCTAACAATTCTCCCAATTCCTTCTTTCCTTCGAAAGTTTTTCCTTTCTTCACTCTTAGCCAGTGACTTCTCCTTATACTTTGAGAAAACAGAAATCAGTGGGTGGTAATTACTTTCCCTTCACAAAATTTGAAATCTATTTTAATTCTCCCCTTGACTCAAAAATCACTCAAAAGTGGTAGATATTGGATCTACCACTTTAATTGAAGGCAGAGGTCTTCAAATTTTGGTCACAGGACTCCTTTTCACTCTTAAAAATATTGTCAACCTTGGCTGGGAGCGGTGGCTAATGCCTATAACCCCAGCACTTTCAGAGGCCAAGGCAGGAGGACGGCTTGAGCCCAGAGTTTAAGACCCACCTGGGAAAACATAGCAAAACTTAGTCCCTACAAAAAATTAAAAAATTAGCCAGGCATAGTGGTGTACACTGGTGGTCCCAGCTACTGGGGAGGCTATGGTGGGAAGATTGTTTGAACCCAGGAGGTTGAGGCTGCAGTGACTTGTGTTTGTGCCACTGCACTCTAATCTGGGTAACACAGCAAGACTGTCTTGGAAAAAAAAATTTCCAACTGCAAAGAGCTTTCATTTATATGAATTATAGCTACTGATATTTAAAAGTTAAAACATATTTTATTTATATGAATTATAGCTACTGATATTTACAAGTTAAAACAGAAGTTTAAAAAGTATTAATTCATTTTGATATGAAAATAAACATTTTAATGGGAAAAACCCAAGTATTTCCAAAAAAATATAGTGGAAAGAGTGATTTTGTTTTATAGTTTTGGAAATCTTTTAAATATCTGGTGTAACAGAAAACATCTGGATTCTGATATCTACTTGTACATTTAATCTACTGCCCCACACAGAAAAATAGTTAGAAATAGAGATATACTCTACTCATCTTGTCAGATAATTATCGATATTATTCTTTGATACTAAATTTGACAAGGGAATGCACAATATGGTTCGAAATCAGGTCAAAGAACACTTTGTACTTTGTTATACAAAATTTACTGTTCTCTCTTGCACTTTGTTTTTGATTTGATTTGATTTTTTTTGAGACAGGGTCTTACTCTGTCACCCAGACTGGAGTGTAGTGGTGTGATCATGGATCGCTGCAGCCTTGACTTCCCTGGCTCCAGTGATCCTCCCATCTTAGCCTCCAGAGAAGCTGGGACTACTGGTGTGTGCCAACACACCCGGCTAATTTTTGTATTTTTTGTAGAGACGGGGTTTCACCATGTTGCCTAGGCTGGTCTCAAACTCCTGACCTCAAGCGATCCTCCCACCTCGGCCTTCCAAAGTGTTGGGATTATAGGTGTGAGTCACTGTGCCCAGACTCTCTTGCACTTTGAATAGATCTTTTACTCATGCGTCATTTTGTAACATTTGTTGTAGCATTCACTGATCATTTGAAAATAATGACTCATTGAATTATAAGGATTTTCTAAATGTTGACTCATTTAATTATATAATAGGAAAAAAAAATCACATTTGTTAAAATACCACTAATCAGCCGGGCATGGTGGCTCACTCCTGTAATCCCAGCACTTTGGGAGGCCAAGACGGGTAGATCACGAGGTGAGGAGTTCGAGACCAGCCTGACCAACATGGTGAAACCACGTCTCTACTAAAAATACAAAAATAAGCCAGCTATGGTGGTGCGCACCTGTAATCCCAGCTACCCAGGAGGCTGAGGCAGGAGAATCGCTTGAACCTGGGAGGCGGAGGTTGTAGTGAGCTGAGATCGCGCCACTGCCCTCCAGCCTGGGTGACAGAGCAAGACTCCGTCTCAAAAAAACAAAAAACAAACAATCTCACTAATCTCATTGACGAAAGTCTTCAGAAGCTCTCAAGCTCATGGTGGTAATTATCACCACCAACAAATGCCTATTGTTTTCCTTAAAATGACAAGCTAACAACATTACTTCTCAAGAAAATGTCTGTCAAATACCTAAGTCTGCATAAACTGCTGGCGGGTCATTTTTTCAAGTAAAAATAGTGTTCCATAAAAGAAAACAAGCTAGTTCAGTTTTCAACTCAAACAACTGCCCAAGAGCTTTCCTTTAAGAAAATCATTCTCTGGTGTGCACAAGTGCTATTTCAGACTTCCTATTTTGTCACACAAATGTTAAAAAAACATATACTCAAGCATCAAGATTGAATAAAGTTAGTAATTTTTACTGCTTCATAAAGAACTTCAATGAACCTGCCTTTTTGCTTTTTTTTTTTTTTTTTTCCCTTGCTTTAAACCTCAAGTATATGGTGCTGAAGAATACAGAGGTAGTAGCAGTTTGGTGCCACTGCCTTGATTTATGCTAAGGCACAAGCAGGTTCACAAACCATTGCTTTTGCACCACAAGTAGAAATTTCAAAATGATAAAAAGGCAAATAATGGCTTGGTATGAAAATAGTTTTGACCTCCTGAAAGAATCACCTATCTCCAGGCTGTCATCTTTGGCCTGGGTAACTATAACAATTTCCTAACTACTCTCCCTGCATTCACCCTTGCATCCAACTCCTCCCCTATACTGTTTTCCGGCCGATTTTTCTGGGATTTATTACTTGCTATTTAAAACTTTTCAAAGCTGTCTAATTTTTCTTTGATATCTCAGTTCTTTATATTAGCCTATAAGGCTGTACATAATTTAATCCCTGCCTACATCCCCCAATTTTTTTCATCTCCCTTTCTTCTGATTTACCAAGTTCCAATCATACCTATCATCTTCATTTCCTTGAAAAACAATTTCTTCAGGGTCTTTGCTTACTTTGGCATTTCTGTGCAAAGAATGTTCTTTCTCTGCTTATTCCCACAGCATGCTCATTATCAAACTCAACTTAAGCAAATTACCCCTTCCAAGAAATCTCCCTGACCACTCAACCCAGAGTAGGTTCCCATTAGTTGTTCTCTATTAGAGTACTCTCATTTTTCCCTTCGAAGGACTTACCAGGATTTGCAAATAGTTATTTGTTTATCTGTTTGTCATTTGCGCCCCACCATGGGGCACAAACTTCATAAAAGACAGGGAATACTTAAATCTTACTTTATACATAGTGGGTACACTAATATTTGTTGAATCCATGGATGCATTTCTCAAGTATTTCTATTAATGAGAACACGCTAAAGTGTTCAGTTATAGAATGCTGTATTAATCAATGTGTTCTCAAAATTGAAATTCTGACTACTTTAATGAATACGCAGTTATACTGGATCTTACATATTTTTAAAGGAACAAAACAAAAGATTCTCTGTGGCTTTCACCTTCGTATTTAGGATTCTTGAACTTACCATGTATGGCTTCTTGGTAACCAAGTGTCTTTGCCAACTTTTTCAATGCAAAACTTTTGAGGCCCATTACTTCCTACACCAGGAAAATAAGACAAAGTTTATCTGGTCCTTTAAACTTTTTTCTTCTGACAACTACTTAAATAATAGAACATGCTGCATAATCATATGAATGATACGAAATAAAGAAGAAATTCACAATGTAAGCTGCTTCTGGCTGAAGAAGCTTCTTACTGTTGCAGAGATCCAGCAATAAGAATTAAATCAGTGGGAAGAAAACTATTTATACAGAATGTCGCTCCCTTCACAGTCACCCTAGGGAGCAAAGCAATGGCCACCTCAGCTATATGAGGAGACATTCATTTTTGTCTTACAAGTGCTTTGATATTAGCCATTCATTTTTCTTTCTTCTAAATGAAGTCCTATCTACAGCACAGAAGAGTAATCTTTAGTTCAAGTCTACTGTATGTCCAAAGGCCATTATTATCACAAAATTATCTACAGAGAAATTACAGTGAAACTACATTTACCCATGAGCTCAGCAAATCCTCCTAGAGGTAAACGGCAGGTTCCAGTGACGAACTGCAGTAGTCGCATTCTTACTTCATTGTCTGTCTCTTTCACAAACTGTAATGAAATCCAATGTACTTTAATATGAAATAAATGCTAAACTATATTCAATCATGAAACTAGTACACACTTGAAGAAATTAAATAACACTGAATTGGTTGAAAAGTCGTGTGAAAAAGTGGTTGTAGGGTTTGTCATTTAATAAGGGTGGGCACCATGCTAAGCACACTGTGAACCTCACTTCAGGTCATCCTCATGAGAACACGGAGGCTGGCCACCATCATTACTACGCCCATCTTACAGCGAGCAAAGACACGAGAATCTTGGCAAGGTTAAGTCATTTATGTAAGGTCAAACAAAAGGTGCAACCAAGATAGATGTTGTTGTTGGGCTGTAGTATAACAGCTATTAAGGGTTCCTGCCAAATAGTGTGCCACTGGTTTTCATGGATTTAGTTCTCACAATTCTATGAGATAGGTAGAATCATTAGCATCCCCACTGTACACATAAGGAAATGGAGGCCTAGAGAGTTTAAATGATTTGTCCTTCTTAAACTGCTAAAGTGGCAGAACTAACATTTGAACTCAAGTCTAGATGAGCCCTAAACCACTGTTATTCCTCCCTGAGTCAATTACCCATCTCCCCTTTAAGCTACAGAAAACAAATGAACACCTCTCTGCTGCCACTCTTAATAGTCTATGGTATTTTCTCCCACAAAACACCATTTTCCTAACACTTTGTGTTCTTCCTGACTAGTACTTGAAAAACCAAAGTACACATTTCTCTAAAATTATCTATTTCACTGACTAGTCATTTTCAAAGACATAAATGGGCAATGTGGTGAAATACTAATTTGATTGGTCTGAGTATAACAGAAAGCAAGGAACATAGGGAGCAGATTAAGAGTAGAAATGTATCTTAAAAATAGGGAATAAACTTTAGCTAAGGATAAGATAAAACAGCTGTGCTAATCATGTCCCAAAATATTTCAGTGAAGAACTGTGCTGAGGCACATATTTCAACAAAACACAAGAAACAAAACTTATTACCAGGTCTGGCATAAACCTCACCACTTCCCCTAAAAGAAACCCACTTCAGAAAACACAAGTATTCATTTGGATTTATATGACCCTAAGCTTAAGCTCATTGGCTATGTAGATACAAATGTGTAAACAGAAAGCCAGGGAAGACCAAATGTAACGAAGCTAGTAAAAAGCCTGAAAGGGAAGGTTACAGACAATAGTATGCATATTGCATGCAATGCAATTCAGGTATTTTAGGCGTGAAAATGGATTTATTCCTTCCTATTTATGTATTTATTTTATAATAGGTAATAGTATAGAATGCAAAAGACTTTTACTTAATGAAAAGCAGCTTTCCTACCTTCGCCTCCAACTGCTCAGCACCCCTCTAGAACTGTTTCCAGTTTTTTCTCTGCCTTTTCAAAGATGATATATTTCCATACTAACATACACTTTTACTATACAGATGATAAGTCTTTAAACAAAAAGCATCATATTATACACATTGTTTAGCATCTTCCTTCTCCCCTTAATACTGTATTGAAACATTATTCTCCAATATTTTTGTTAATTTGCATTTTTAAAAATGGAAAGAAAAGTCAGGCGTAGTGGCTCATACCTGTAATCCCAGCACTTTGGGAGGCCAAGGCAGGTGGATCACTTGAGGTCAGCAATTCAAGACCAGCCTGGCCAACATGGTGAAACCCTGTCTCTACTAAAAATACAAAAACTAGCTGGGCGTGGTGGCACGCACCCATAATCCCAGCTACTTGGAGTGGGGGCGCTGAGGCAGGAGAATCACTTGAACCTGGGAGGCAGAGGTTGCAATGAGCCGAGATCCTGCCACTGCACTCCAGCCTAGGCAATAGAGTGAGACTCTGTCTCAAAAAAGAATGACTCCAAGGTATAGACATATAGAATGGATGTATGATAGTTTATTTACTCAGTACTCTCCTGATGGACATTTAGGTTGTTTCAAGTCTCTGTTAGTAAACCAATGATATTGCATTACTTTGGTATGTGCCACTTTACACATGTGGAAGTATATTTTAAGATAAATTTCTAGAAGTGTCTACATCTCTTTAAAATATCAAGCAATAAACTCATGACATACATCCTTATGAAAAGATGCAACTTTTGGAAAGTATACTGTAACACAAAACCTAGCATTACTCTTCACCTGAAAATGAAACAGTTAAGCAGAAGTAAGCCAGAAGTCCAGTCGTTAAATTGCTCAAATGAGTCCCAATTAGTAGAGAAGTTATCTAAAGAATATCCCTGATCTGGAGATTTTAAATTCTCAAATAAACACACAAAACAAAAGTCTATTAAAATAAAATGTTCAAGTTAGTGTGGTACACTTGGATTCCTGAGACCATCCTATTACAGTTTAAGCAAAACACAAAAAAATAAAAATAAATACATAAATAAGTGAATAAAGTCACTCTTATGACATTATGCCCTCGATCATTCTAATTCCCTAGTATATATTACCTCAGAGGAATTAAAATATCTGCACTGACTATCATTACAAACATATTTCCTCATTTACTTCTAGAATTAAGTGGAATTTAGACTACTTTGATACCACTAGAAAAAAATTGCTATGCCTACAACTATTAACATTAAACTATTACTTAAATAAGATTCCGTCATTCACTCCTTCATTTTAGCAAGACAGTCAAAGAAGCAATAGAAAGTACTTTTGACAAGTGTTCACACTATTCTCTTAGATTCAGAATTGGAAAATTATAAACTGTGTCCAAAAGCAGTCTCAATTAAAAATAATAAGCTATTTTTAAAACCACCATTTCATTAGAAAATATGTTGAGTACTTTGTTTCAAATACGTTGAGTACTTTGTTTCAAAAAAGATAAAAGCAAATACCTGCCAAAACCAAATGATTTGCTTGCTGTTTCTTGTATAATGTCGATAAACAGTATTTCTCTGCCAATCTGCCAAGTCAACCTCCTGCATGCCACACAACATAACCTGGGAAATGAGCACAGAATCAGGCTACGATAAAGATTTAGTGAAGAGAGTAATCATATGACTGAAATTTCCTAATGCAGTCATGCACATGGCAAATTATGTGAAAAGCTATGTGCACGGCATATAATGATAACAATAAGCAAATCTTTTGAACAAAACTGTGGCAATTTAGCATAAAGGATTCTCTGGTACTTTACCCATGTTTATTGAACTCAAAATAAAAACTACATTTAGAGTATTTTCAAGAAAAACAGCTATACTGAAAAGCATGTCTCCTTTACCATGTGTATATATATGGTGTGTATATTTACACACACACACACATCTATATATATAGATTTATATCTAGATATGTGTGTATATATGTATCTAGATATATACATAGATATATATCTAGATACATAGATAGATCGATCGATCTCCCCCAAACTGGGTATCCAAATTCATTAGTTCCAAACCTATTTCTGGTTCTCATTTTAAAAAAACTATGCTATCTTATATACTTAAAAATAAAAAAATACTAACCTCCTATTAATAATTTATCCAGCTTCTCTAGGAATATTCTACATATGTGAAATTTTCAAACAACCTCAACTTGTATATGAAATGAACATTATTTTAGGCATAGTAAAATATGTAACACTTATCTCTTAAGTTTTTTTCATAAGTCAACTTTGAGCTATAATTTACATAGAATAAAATGCACAAACTTAGGTATATAGTTAGAAGATTTTCAACAGATGTATACACCTGTGTAACCACCATTACAATCAAGATATAGAATATTTCCATCATATCCCTTTTTGTAATCAAAACCATATCCTCATCCTAGTTTCAGGTGATCAGTGATTTCACCACAGATTATATTTGTCCTTTTAAGAATGTCATGTATATGCATACATCCATATTTGTGTCATATATAGTGCATACACATATACACACATCCTCTTTTGTTTTTCCCACTCAACATGTTTTTGAGATTCATCCATGCTGTAGTTCATATTTTCTATCACTGAGTAGTATTCCATTATATGAATATACAACAATTTGCTTATCCATTCACTTGTTAATTCATTTAGGTTACTTTCAATTTTTAGCATTGATGAATAAAGTGATTAACATTTATGTACAAGTCTTTGTTTAGATATATATTTCATTTCATTTTAATAAACACCTAACAGCAGAACTAGTAGGCCATAAGGTAGATGTACATTTAACATTATAAGAAACTACCAACACTATCTCAAAGTGGTGTTTTGATTTGCATTTCCCCAATTACTAATAAGCATTTTTCCATGTATTTACTTGCCATCTGTGTATCTCCTATTGTGAAGTGAGCCTTTGTCTATTTAAAAATGTTTTCTTGTCTTTTTATCGAGTTCCATGAGTTTTTTGTTAATATATTCCAGATATAAGATCTTTGTCTCAACAGTTTCTCCCAGTGTGTAGGTTACTTTTTCACTTAATATCTTTTCAAGAGCAGTTTTTAGTTTTGAAGAAGTCCAATTTATCCATATTTTTCTTTCATGGTTATTACTTTTTGTGTTCTAAAAAACTTCTGCCTGCATCAAGATTTCTCTCACGTTTTCTTTTTCACTTTCACATTCAGACTTATAATTCTCTTTAATTGTAAGCATGAATAATTTTATGGGCAGAGGTAAGGTCAAAGTTAATTTTAAATATGGACTGAAGTAGGTTCATAGTTAATTTTCTTCCATATGGACATTCAGTTGATTCAACATCATTTGTTGAAAAGATATTCCCTTTCCACATTGAAATATCTTAGCACTTTTGCTGAAAATCAATTGACAATATAGGGTCTACTTCCGGACTTTCTAGTGTTCCACCAATTTGTCTATTCTTTCACAAATACCACATTATCTTATTTACTATTAGAAATAAGTCTTAAAATCAGGTGATGTAAATCCTCCAAGTCTGTCCTTTCTCAAAATTGGCTCTGCTCTTCTAGGGCCTCTGTATTTCCTTCTAATTTTGAAATCAGCCTGTCACTTTCTATAAAAAAATTCTGCTGAGATGTTGAATCTCTAAATCAATTTGAAGGGAATTGACACTTTAACAATATAACATGGTATATCTCTTCATTTATTTAGGTCTTCCTTAATTTTTCTGAGCAGTTTTGAGTTTTTGGTATAGAGGTCTTGTGTGTTTTTGATTAAATTTGCTCATTTTTTGAGCTTTCACAAATGAAACTAAAATCTTAATTTTAAGTGTCTGTTGCAAATACATAAAAATACAATTGATTTTTAAAGTATTAAAATTGTACCCATGCCTTATTAAATTCACCTTATTTCTAGTAGTTTTTTGGTGGGTTACCTAGGATTTTCTAATCTAAGCTGAAAATCATGCTTTCATCTGTGAATATAGGCAGTTTTACTTATTTCCCATCTTTATGCTTCTTATTTCTGCTTTTGCCACTGGCTAGGGTATTTGGTAAAATATTGAATAGAAGTGGTAAGAGTAGACACCTTTGCCTTTTTCCGAAACTCAATGGGAAACTTTCAAAATATTACCATTTAGAATAATGCTAAGGTTTTTTGTTGTTGATGATGATTCCCTTTATCAAACTAAGAAAGTTGCCTTCTATTCCTAGTGTGGTAGGGGTTTTCATAAAGAATGACTACTATATCTTCTTAAGCATTAAACAGATATTAACCTATAAAAGGGGGTGTGATTATGCATAGCCATTATTGTGAATAATAGTATGAATAACGGTTACTGTGATAAGAGAGCCAATGAATGGCAGCAGACGGAAGAACAACAGACTAGGAGTAAAACTTAAGACAAAGCAAAACAAGACAAAATCTATTTTCTCACACAGCTCTGCATTCTTAATTGATTAGCACTCTTAATTGTACTTTTAATTGATTAGGTCAAGGCAAATAATCATAAAGGGCTTCAGTCACCTTATATGTAAAAGAAAAGTATCATATGGCCTTCCCACACACAGGGCAGTATGTGAGAACATTATACACCCTGCCAAGGGTACATAAACTACATGTTCCTATTATTATGCTTCTTGATCTCCTGTTTTAATTTCATCTCCACTTCAATATAAGGCTCCCACTATAACATCCCTCTTTGAGTGCACCTCTAAAATAGGCATTCTTAATGGGAGGTATGGAGTATTTAGGTGTATGAATTTAGAGGATGCAAGATGTCTGTCTTCAGATTAAAAATGAAGTCTGTGGTTTTTAAAAAGATTAATAAATACTACTCTAAAAATGTCTTCCATGCTAATCTTCTAATATGTTTCTGTTAATTTGTGTAAGCAAACTGTTAAGAAAGATGTTAACCAGGATTAGTGACGGTCTATGTCAGCCAGGCTCAGAGTCCTGGTTTTCATATATATCGGCTTTCCATATCCACAGCTTTTGTATCGGCAGATTCAACCAATGGTGGATTGAAAATATTTGAGAAAAAGAATAATACAACAATTAAAAAAATTAAAAAATTAAAAATATAGTATAATAACTATTTACTGTAACATTTGCATTGCATTAGGTATTTATAAGTAATCTAGAGATGATTTAAAGTATAAGGGAGAAGTGTGTAGGTTATATGCAAATACTATACTATTATATACTGTAACCGTAAGGACTTGAGTATCCATGGATTGTGGTGTCCACAGGTGCCCTACAGAACCAATCCCCCACAGATACCTAGGGATGACTGTACTTCCAGAGTTGCTAGAAGGCTTAATTCCTACATAGGAATATTACTGTATGAAATTTAAAGTACTGTTTTTCATATGTACATTTGATTACATGAAAGAACCAAGTTTCTTAATAAAAGGCCCAATATGGCTACAGTTAAAATAGCACACCCAAAGCAGGCAGAGAGGAAATGCCAAGAACTATTCAAATGCCCGGCCTATGACCTAACTTCATATGGGAAAATAAGACTTAGAAAATTCTTGATAATTAATCATTAGGGAAATGCAAATCAAAACCACAATGAGATATCCCCTCCCACCCATTAGGGTGGATACTATTAAAAAAACAAGCAAAAAAAAAAAAAAAAAAAAAAAGAAAGAAACAGAAAATAAGTGTTGGGAAAGATGTGGAGAAACAGGAATCTTTCTACATGTTTAACAGGAATGTAAAATGATGCAACTGATCTAGAAAACAGTATGGTAGTTCCTCAAAAAATGAAACAGAGGTTTACCATATGATCCAACAACACTACTCCTGGGTACATATCCAAAAGAAACAGGATCTCAAAGAGATATGTATACACCTGTGTTCACAGCAGCACTATTCACAACGGCCAAAAGATGGAAGCCACAGAAAGGTCCCTCGAGGGACGAACGGATAATACCATGTGGTAGTGTACATACCTATAGTGGAGTATTATTCGGTCTAAAAAAGGAAGAAAATTCTGACACATGCTACAGGACAAATGAACCTTGAGGATATTAGGCTGAGTGAAATAACCCACTCACAGAAAGTAAAATACTGTATGATTTCACTCATAGGAGGTATCAACAGTAGTCAAACTCACAGAAACAAAGTAGAAGGGTAGTTGCCAGGGGCTGGGGAAAGGGGGACTTGTCTAATGGATATAGAGTTTCAGTTTTGCAAGATGAAAAAATTCTGGAGATTGGATGCACAATGTGAATATATTTAACATTACTGAACACTTAGAAATAGTTAAGATGGTATATTTTAAGATATATTTTATCGCACACCTGATATACTTCTACCAAGTCTAAATGTAGTTAAGACCACTAACAACTCATGACTTAAAACTCTGATCTTTGAAGCAACTCACTACTAAACTGAAATTTTAGAGTTATTAATAATGTTCCAATAACTCTTCAAGACCCCTAACAACTGACACTGATTGATGATTTTGTGCTCATGGCATTATATAGTTCAGAGAACATAACTAAGACTCTTACCCAATGCTAGAATAAATACCACCTTGACATCAGGACAAATGAGAGGATTCAAGATTGTGCTACAGGATTTTTAAATGTGTGAACACTGTTCTGTAAAAGCACAAAATTAGTCCCTCCCCCCACTAACATTCCCTATAACAGCAAAATAAAAGGGCCTAACCTCTAATTCTTTTTCATCGAAGTACTGTAGCCACTGAAGAGGAACAACTTCATTAAAACCATCAAGGAAAGCTTTGGTCTGTTCTTGTACTCCTCGAGAAAAACGCCATTCTGTCATTAAACTGAAAATAAAGATAGTATTTAAAAATAGGTAATTTATATGTGAAGTAAAATACTTAAAAACACCAAGAACTTCTATAGTTCTTTCTCTTTTTCTAAATATGCCACATATATATATATACATATAAATGTGATGTGTGTGTATATGTATGTATGCACATAATTTTAGAGTTAACACATTCGAGGAAATCAGTTCTAGCACATTGGCAACTATTAAAAAGGATGCTTTTAAGATAAATAGGAAAGAAAAAACAGAAAAAAGAAAGAAAATAAATAGGAGGTTCCTCACTATTTAGTAAGATAGCCAAATCCTAGCACTAATTATTTCCTGTTTATATCTAGACAAATACATCCAAACATCATGTGCTCACCGGGAAAGGAATAGCTAGTCATTTAACAGGCTGTCCTTACACCAAGCATTGCCATGACAGACCTGAGGACTCTGACTCAAAGCCTTCCACACCAGGGAGGCAAGGGATTGTCTCAGTAGTATGTAATGACCATATGTCCACAGGCCATGGACTGGTGAGGGCTTATTGTCTGAGAGGGCTTAAGGCTGGAGAACAGGTTCTTTACTTGCTGGTTTATTAGAAAACATGAAGATTTCCTAACTAGAATAGAAGAACTCAAGATGAAAACAAAACATTCTGAAGAGACACATATAAAGCAGCTATAAGAGCACAGAAGTATGATAGAAATGAAATAAGGAAGAAAATGTGTCAGTGACACAAAATCTGTAAAAGGAGATTCCAAAAGGAGGTGGATCTGGAAAGAACTACCTAGAGAAGCAGCATACACCACCTCATACAGAGAAGCCACAGATTCTAGCAGATGAAAAGAAAGCCAAGCTGTTCCCACTCCTCTCATTTCTAACTCTTCTTTTTGTTTTCTAGAGGAAGCTGGCCTTATGCTTTTCTAAGGCTGCCTCTAAAACTTTTCTTCAATTCCTAAACCCTCTTTGTCCCGTATCCTCAACTCCAACTTTTCTTCCCATTTGTCCACAAACGTGTTCAGACTATTCTTTTCCAAAAACCCTTCCTTTAACCCAGTGTCTCTTTTAAATTCCTCTCTGTCCTCTCTTTACCACCACACTCATTATAAGAGTACACCACACTCAGTGTTTTCACTTGCTCACCTTCTATTCAACCAAATTTTAAACCAAGGTAATTTTAACCCTGGCTATCATTGTAGGCTTCACTATAGCCACTAATTCTCACTATCAACTTATCCCCTTAATACGTCAATTCTGCTCTTGCTGTTTTCCCTGTCCCAAAATCTCCCTCTATCAGGCAAGCTTTCATGTATCTTTTTTTTTTTTTCTTTTAACATAAGGTCTCACTCTGTTGCCTGGTTCACTGCGGCCTTGACCTCCCTGGGCTCAGGTGATAGTCCCACCTCAGCCTCCCTAGTGCCTGGGACTACAGGCGCATGCCACCATGCCCAGCTAATTATTTTTAAAATTTTATTTATTTATTTATTTTTGTAGAGATGAGGTTTTGCCATGTTTCTCAGGCTGGTCTTGAACTCCTGGGCTCAAGTGATCCGCCCACCTCAGCCTCCCAAAGTGCTGAGATTACAGGCAGGAGCCACCAGCCTCTCATGCATCTTTTAAGACGTAACCTAATACATAATGTCTTATGAAGAACTTTCCTGACTCCTCCCAGTAGAAACAATACCTCTCTTCCTACTTTAGATTCCAGTAGTACTTCATATATATTTCTACCATTCATTTACTTATAGCTTCACTGATGGCCTATTTTGTGCACTAAAAATAAGGTATCACAACTAAACAAGAGTATTATCATATAATTCGCAAAAGCAGGATTAAAAAATAAGACTAAAGTCTGTTATTATTTGAAACTGAAACAAAATCCTCCAAAAATTGCTGCATTCATGATTAGCTATGAATAGTATTACAGTGATAAAATGTTTTGAAACAGTGCTTAACTTTACAGAAAGTGAATATAAATCTTACATGGTAAGATTTTATTTAGACTGCTTTTGATATTTGAAACCACTGATAGCATTTTTTTAACCACTCAGGTTGTGGTACTTATTTTTGTTGGACTTTGTGGAAGGCTCAGGCTTAACAAATAAAAAAAAAAGTCCAGTGCCTTATGCGTGATCTTTGTGAATATATTTTCCTCAAAATCTAGTGTTACTGTTTTTTTCCAACTAGTGTAATAAATGCACGCTGCAGAACAAAGCAAAACAAAAATATCTAACAGAGTACAAAAGTACAAAAGAAGAAAATCAGCTATTGCTAATTTCTCTCACTCAGAGATGACTGGTTTAGCAGAAACAGATGAGGCCAAGAATGTCAAGCTAAGAAGGGTACATTGAAGTTGGTAAGCAGAGACACTAAGGATATAAATTTGAAAGGCCATAGCAATTTACAAGAAGGGAAAAAAGAATGGCTGTGACATTTTACAAAAGCCACATAGCAATATCTATTAAATACTTTTTGACCAAGTAACTTCACTTTTTAAAAATCTAGCCCACAAAACAAGTAGCAGGATGTATGGATTCATGCTTAAGGAAGTTTTCTGCTGTCTTCTTTGCAGTGGCCCAAACTGGACACAACCTAAATGATCTCTATTGACAGGAATAGCTGAAAAATATAGGAAAAAAACCACCCCAGTTTACCTAGCTATTAAAAAATGAGCTAGATTTAACTGTACTGTCCTTAAGACAAAAAAGTAAAATACAGAGTAATGTGTATAATCCAATCCCATTTTCAAAACAAATATAAAAAACAAAAAATCTGAAAGAGACAGAGATGGCAGCTAGCATCTAAGAGGGTGAAAATGGTAGTACTATTCATAGAAGACATCAGTAGGAGAAAATATCTAGAAAAAATGAAAAGTTTGATTTTAGACCCATGACATTTTAAGATGGGTCATCTGTAGTTCACGTGTTGGCAAATTATGACCCGTGGGCCTAATCATCTGGTTTTTTTGTCCCCAGCATTTGAGCTAAGAATAGTTTTTACATTTTAAAAAAATGACTGAAAAATATTAAAAGTATTTTGGGATATGAAAATCATACAAAATCAAATTTCAGTGTCTACAAGTGTTTTACTAGAACACAGCCACACATCTATTTATACACTGTCTATGGTTACCTTCACACTATACCACAGAGGTGAGTAGTTGCAATAAGAAATGTGGCCTGTAAGCCTAACAAGTTTACTGCCTGGTTCTTTCCTGAAAATGTTTGGATTTACCTGGCTGGCAAATGGAAATTATTTCTAAAGTTCAGATATAACTTTAACAGAAAATTGAAGCTATGTTAGCAGAATATTTAGATAAGCAGGTTGAAATAAAATCTTGGAAAAATGCCTACATTTAGGAAATAGGAGATTTAGAGAACCGTCATTAAAAAAGTGCAAGTGACCAGGAGTGGTGACTCATGCCTGTAATCCCAGCATTTTGGGAGGCTGAGGAAGGAGGATGACTTGAGGCCAAGAGTTTGAGACCAGCCTGGGCAATACAGTGAGACCCTGTCTTTAAAAAACAAAAACAAAAACAAAAACAAAAAACCATTGTTTTAAATTAGCTGGGAATAGTAGTATAAGCCTGTAGTACCAGCTACTCAGGAGACTAAGGCAGGAGAATAGCTTGAGCTCAATGGTCAACCACGCCACTACTACAGCCTGAGCGACAGAGTGAAACCCTCTCTGAAAACAAAATTTTAAAACAAGAGAATGTAAGGAAAATCAGTATGACATAGGATCATGGAATTCAAGAAAACACTGAGTTTCAAGAAAGAGGCTATGGTGAGCACTATTTAAAAGCCTAAGTTAAAAAAGGGAAAATGACATGGAAAGGGAAATGGTAGAATGGTTACAGCAAATGGCAGTGGGAAAATGAAGCAACATACATTCTTTTTTTTTCAAGAGCAGTGGTACTGGTGAGAAGAACTTCCCAAAGGCATGAAAAGGGGATGAAATTAAGGGTACAGAGAAAGGATTTAGTTCTGAAGTGTTCTAGAAATTAAGCTTAATAAGGTATATCGCCTTACCCAATATATTCATCTTTGTTCTCCTCAGTCACCAGAATATTGGAACCTCCCAATTTCAGGTCATGTGAAGTAACTTTTCCCAAAATCTCCATGTCAACAGAAAAGTACATTTCTAAGCCACATTCTTCAATGTTGTTATCTCTGGGTGAAATAAATATATATACACTAATTAACAAAATGAAACAAAATGAGTTTCAAAAAAATGACTTACTGCAAAACAAAATCTTCAAACCTTATCCAGATAAGGGAGTTATAAAATTCAGTATCAATAGATTCCAAATCCTTAATAGTAAGTTTTTTACTTAACATACGCTTGTAGAATGGTAAAGAGAAACCAGTATCGATAAACTTTCCATGAAATAGTGCCTGCAAAGAAAAATGAAAAATTTTATTTAAAATTTGCAAAATAACAATTTCTTACAGAACAATGATAACAGAAAAATCATGAGACTTTACAAGTAAAGCATTCAGTAAGTGAATGGCATAAATCATGAAAACTAAAATATTATATAAAATGCTAGGTATGAAAAACAAAGTTAAAACAAAATCTATTTTATACATACAGCTATATAACATATATCAAAAAATGTAGAGGATGATACAAGACTTCTGTTACCATACCCTGCCTCAATCTTCCTAAATGTTTTATAAATTGAATTAACCTAATTGGATAACGAAATAGAAAAGGGCTCTGTGCACCTGAAAAGGCAGCTCCCCCGTTCCTTTCTTATTCTCACTGTTGCATGTGAGGCTTTTAGGACTAACCTCACTGTGCCTTTGCTCCTATTCACAACAGCCAACCCAGGAAGCCCCAGACTCCCAGCAATGTGGGGGAACTAAAAAAATCCACTGAAGCTATTAATACTACCTTAGCCTCCTCATGAAGTTATGTCTTCCCTTACTCAGTTTAGATTCCATAGTCAATCATTAAAATAACTACCTTCAAGGTGGGGCACGGTGGCTCACACTTGTAATCCCAGCACTTTGGGAGGCTGAGGCAGGTGGATCATGAGGTCAGGAGATCAACACCATCCTGGCTAACACAGTGAAACCCTGTCCTTACTAAAAATACAAAAAATCAGCTGGGAATGGTGGCACGCACCTGTAATCTCAGCTACTCAGGGGAATGAGGCAGGAGAATTGCTTGAACCTGGGAGGTGGAAGTTGCAGAGAGCCAAGATCACACCACTGCACTCCAGCCTAGGTGACAGAGCAAGACTCTGTCTCAAATAATAAAATAAAATAACTCCCTTCAAACCCTACCTCCACCAGTGTATTCTAGCAAAATCCCAAGCACAGCTAAATTCAACTCTCAGGTTACTCAATGTCTATACCTAGGCAATGGAACATGCTAGAAATGCATAAACAACCAAGCTGACTCCTCCATGACCAACAGTCATATTTCATCACTGGTTTGTTTCCTGGTAATCACATTTCCCTACTGCATTCACTCTCCCACTTTCCTAGATGACTATTTCATTCCTACTCCTCTTTCCTCAAATACTTACTTCTCCCTGCTCCTTATTCTGAGTTGATGATCTTACTTCCTATTTCACAGAGGAAACAGAAGCAACCACAAGAGAACTTTTGTGTGTTCTACTATATCTGCTCACTACTAGCATCTGAATGCATATAATCTTATTACAGATAATCTTTCTATCAACTAGTATGTGTGCTAAATAAATCTCTTCCTCTCTCCAACTCAAGTCCATTGCTCTCATATTCCTTATATTCTGACTTTATCAAATTCTTTATCCTCTAACTTGGTAGTATTGTTTAGATGTTTCTCTCCTCCAAATCTCATGTTGAAATGTGATCCCCCAGCTGGCTTCTTCATACAGAAGAATGAAACCAGAGTGCTACCTCTCATCATACACAAAAATTAACTCAAGATGGACTAAATACTTAAATGTAAGACCTAAAACTATTAAAATCCTAGAAGAAAACCTAGGAAATGCCCTCTTGATATTAGCCTTGAGAAAAAAACTTCTAAGTCCTCAAAAGAATTGCAACAAAAACAAAAATTGATAAATAGGACATAGTTAAACTAAAGAGCTTCTGCACAGCAAAAGAGGGAGTAAACTAACCTACAGAATGGGAGAAAATATTCATAAACTATGGATCCAACAAAGGTCTAATATCCAGAATTCATAAAGAACGTAAGCAAATCAACAAGAAAAAAGAACCCCATTAAAAAGTGGGCAAGCATAAACAGACACTTCTCAAAAGAAGATATATAAGCAGCTGCTGGGTGTGGTGGCTCACACCCGTAATCCCAGCACTTTGGGAAGTAGATCACCTGAGGTTAGGAGTTTGAGACTGGCGCAGTCAACATGGTGAAACCCCATCTCTATTAAAAATACAAAAATTAGCTGAGTTTGGTGGTGCATGCCTGTGGTCCCGGCTACTCAGGAGGTTGAGGCAGGAGAATTGCTTGAACCCAGAAGGCAGAGGTTGCAGTGAGCTGGGATAATGCCACTGCATTCCAGCCTGGGTGACAGAGTAAGACTCTGTCTCAAAAAAAATAAAATAAAAGACATATAAGCAGCCAACAAATACATGAAAAAATGCTCAACATCACTAATCATCAGAGAAATGCAAATCAAAACCACAATGAGACACCATCTCATACCATCATACCAGTCAGAATGGCTTTTGTTAAAACATTAAAAAATAATAGATGTTGGCAAGGCTGCAGAAAAAGAAGAGACATATACTTTGTTCAGAATGTAAATTAGTTCAGCCACTTTGAAAAGCAGGTTGGAAATTTCTCAATGAACTAAGAGTTGAACCACCATAAGAATCAGCAATACAGTTACTGGGTATAGATATCCAGAGGAAAATAAATTGTGCTACCAAAGGACGCATGCACTGTACATTTGCCACAGCGCTACTCACAATAGCAAAGACAGAATAAATCCAGGTGCCCATCAGTGGTGGACTGAATAAAGAAGATGTGGTACATAAGCACCATGGAATACTATTCAGCCATACAGAGAATGAAATCATATCCATTGCAATAACACAGATGCAGATGGAGGCCATTTTCTCAAGCCAACTACCGAATACTACATGTTCTTACATACAGGTGGGAGCTCAGCATTGGGCACACATGGACATAAAGATGGGAAAAATAGACACCTGGGGATTACTATGGGAGGGAGAGAGGGAGGAAGGCAAGGGCTGAAAAACTACCTATTGGGTACTATGCTCACTACCTGAGCATGATGGGTTCAATCACACCCCAAACCTCAGCATCATACAATATACCTTTTTAACAAACCTGCACATGTACCCCCCGATTCTAAAATTAAACCAGAAAAACAAAGAAATTTGACTTGCAATGAAGAGATTAATGCCCTGGTGAGTTCTCACTCTATTAGTTCCCTACAGAGCTGGTTGTTAACAAGAGTGTGGCACTTCCTCCCCACCCTTGCTTCCTCTCTCATCATGTGACTTTCATCCACGCTGCCTCTCCTTCTGCCATGAGTGGAAGCAGCCTGAGGCCCTCACCAGAAGCAGATGCTGGCAACATGCTTCTTGTACAGCCTGCACAGTCAAACAAACGCCTTTTCTTTATAAATTATCCACCCTCTGGTATTCTTTTATAGCAACACAAAACAGACTAAGATATTTAGTCATCACTATCAGCAATACAAATGTTTTATTCTCCTCCCATTTCGACTCCATAAGCATTTCTAGTTAGTGACCAATTCTCTACGATTCCTTGTTTATATTTGCTGTATCCACTCTCCCTCCATTCTCTCTTGATTTTACTCTCATCAGTCTTTCCACCCTACCACTCATGAATAACCTTCACCTTTGCAGATACAATGGTCAAATCGCAGGCTTCATCTTGCTCAGCCTATCAGTAACATATGACAGGGCTGATCATGTCTTCCTTCTTGAAACACACTTCCTTCTTCCCTTGTCCTTTGGGGACCACCCCTATTTGATTCTACTACCTCAGAACTTTTGCTGGTTACTTATCTCCCTGACTTATAATTGTCCTTGAACAACTTCTTCATCCACACTCACTCTGTAAACAATCATACTGCCTTTTAATACTCTCTGTGTGCCAAGAATTCCCAAATGCCTATCTCCAAACTAAATATCCTTTCATTGCCAGACTTATACCTCCAACTATCTCTTTTACATCTCCATTTGGATGTCTACTTCAAACTTAACAAGCCAAACCTAAATATTCTTGATTTCTCCCACCCCCAAAATTTGCAACCAGACAAGCTGGCCATAAGTATTGTTGCCATACTTGACTCTCTCTCACACCCTGCATCTAATCTGTCAGAAAACTGTTAGTTCTAACTTTGCAATATACCCAGAATCCAAACCACTTCTCACTTCCTCCACTGCTAGAAGACACAAGTCCAAGCCACTATTATCTTTCACCTGGATTGTTACAAATGATTTTCCTGTTTCTATCCATGTTTTCCTATGCCCCCAATTATAGTCTGTCTTCTACATGCCGGTAAAGCAAGCTTAATAAAATTTAAGTCAGATCATGTTAGTTAGATCATGTCACTCATTGCCCTACTCAACTCTTACATGAATTTCCTAAAGGTCCCAACACAGCATCTCTCAATCTCATCTCCTACTACATTCTCTCTCATATCCTCTGTTGCAATTATACTGGTCTCTTTCTCAATCAAGAATGCACTCCCGCATTAGAGCCTTTGTCTTGCTGTTCCCTAAGCTTAGAATAGTCTTCAAGACACCTGCATGATTCAGTCCCTAGCTTTCTTCAATTTCTGTTCATGTGTCATCCATCAGTGAGGCTTCCTCTAACCATATAAAAAAAGCAACACACTCTTTCCTTCAGAATATATCTATTGATTATTTGTTTCTATCTAATGGAATTTAGGTCCCTGAGAACAGGGACGTGTATTCTTTTCATCTCTGGAGCCTAGAACAGTGCTTGGCATTACAGTAGGCTGTCAATAAATTTTTGCTGAATGAATTAATAGGTAACAAAGTGCAAATAAATAGGTAAATAAATAAATACAAACACTTCCCAAAAGACAATAGTTCCATAAAGGTTTCTGCAAAGCTCTAAAAATTCCAAAAACAATCAAATACAATTATTAGATAGCTAAGATTTTCCTTGTATTGAAAAGCAGGCTGGGAGTGGTGGCTCACATTTGTATTCTGAGCACTTTGGGAGGCTGAGACAGGTGGATCACTCGAGCCCAGGAGTTTGAGACCAGCCTGGGCAATATAACGAAACCCTATCTCCACTAAAACTACAAAAAAATTAGCTGGCATGGTGGCATGAGCCTGTAGTCTCAGCTACTTGGGAGGCAGAGGTAGGAGGATCGTTTGAATCAAGAGAGAATGGAGGGAGAGTGGATACAGCAAATATAAACAAGGATTAAACAAGCAAATATAAACAACAGCGCAAGGGGGAGGTTGTGCTGAGATCATGCCACTGCACTCCAGCCTGGGAACAGAGTGTGATCCTGTCTCAAAAGAATTTTTTTCTATTAAAAATAAACAAATAAAAGTAGTCATACTATAAATGAGTTTTAATTTTAAAAATGAAAGGACTTTTAAAGACTAAGTGGCTGTATAAACATAATCTTCATATTCATAATCTTGATTTTATACAGGTACTCAAAAAATGTATTTTTATACTCTCCAGGGAAACTTTCTTGGTAATAAAATTTGTGAATAGCAAATATAATGTTTATCTTTTTTTTTTTTTTAAAAGACTTCTCTAATACATTTGTAACAAATTTAAATAAATAAAAACAATAAAATCAAGAACTCACCATGGCAATAAAACGACCAATGAAACAGAAGTATGAAAGATGGTCTGGATTAATGGTTGATGCTGGATTTATCTGCAGACAATAGTTGTTCTTGCCCGCATACTCAAATAAGCAATACATTGGGTTCAAAACTTCATGTGAAAGCAAGAAAAACCATTCTCTATAAGAAAGTAAGCCAAGGTTATTTTTTAGCATTAATATGTGAATTTAAAAACAGATCTTAAATATACTCATATATACATCATACCTCTGGCTCAATAGTCTTTAAGAACTCCACTGCCCAATTCCTCGGCCCTCCATCCATGTTCTTCTATGATCTGGCTCTCCATTTTAAGTTACCTGCTAGTTTCGATATGGCCAAACTACAAATTCACTGATCCTCATACAGATATAACATGCTTATTTGTACGCCACACTTTTGCTTGGATATGTCTCCTCAACTTCAACTCAGCTTAAATCCCACTTCAACAATTTTTTGAAGCAATTTCCAGTGTATATGTATTAATATCAGTCACTGAATACTCTGTGGTAACAATCTCACAATATTCATTCATTTTTATGCACATGACTTGCCCCATCCATCAGACTATAAGTTTCTCAAAGGCAAAAGCCATGTATTTTTTGTATTCTTAACTCTTACAAGCAAGCACTCCAGGACATATATACAATAGGTTTTAATATACATTTGCAGGTGATACTGAGATACACAGCACTGCTGCTATAGAACAGTTTTAACTTTATTGTCACTGCATTAAAAATGAAACTAACATTTAAAAGGTTAAATCTTTAAATATGATAAGCAATCTCTAACCTTTTACCACCCATTTTAAAGTCCAATATACGAAATTTTCAACTAGATAAAGGTATTACAAGATAAACCCAATCTCTAAAAGATTCTTTTCAACAGCAATTTCTTCTAAAGAAGATTTCCAAACTCAAATGCTTACAATGATCTGTGAGTACAAGGGGCTTCCTTCTCTCACATTCTCTGCTTAGCCACAATCCTCCATTCCTTACATCCCTGCTAAATTATCGGTGTTAAGGAAGAAGAATTTCTAGGCATATTATCGTAGTCCTCAGACAACTGGGCAGCGGTGGACACTGCAGTGAAATAGAGCATATGCTAACCTATAGGGGAAACAGTGACTCTGATTCAGCCCACTGACGCCACGTGAGAAGGCAGGATTGTGGGTCGAGTGTTTTAAAGAGAAGTCAGAAATCTTCATTCTTAAGCATAATCTAATGATTTTCAAATGTCATCAAGTAATTTAAAAACTGTAAAATCACAATGAGGGCCACCTCTATGTAGGCTAGATCTGGTCTGGCAGCCTGTTAATAAATGCTTTTCTAAAACTTTTAAAACACAATCGCTGATACTGCCTGAAGGGTAGAGAAGGGACTCCCTAAACAAAATCAACTAGAAATGGTAAACACCAATTCTTAAAACTAAGTCCAGTTGTAACATAGTAGTAGTTGAACCAAGTGACGTCCCCCTATGATGAGGCTGAAGTAAGACGTGCCCCAGGTAAGAGGACGGAGCAGGTCTAGTGAGAGTGTGTTTAGACACATATATAAAAACTAGGAATAAATCCTCCAGATGCTTCAGATAATTTTTAGCAAACAACAGCCCAGAGGAAACTGAATCAATTCAAAAGAAGAATGGCTAAAACATGGCATCTAAACTTTCCCCTGATGCTAGCAGAAAAGGAAGAAAAATTCCTAACTAGCAAGAGGCAGAAGAATTAACTTTCAACATATTCTTCTCAATACTCTCAAATAAACTGAAGAGACACAAGAGGTTGAAAAAATTATGAGACAACAGATGAACTAGCAGAGCCTAAAGAAGAAAATGAAGAAAACAGTAAAACCACTAATGAAGAAAAACCACATTAGAAGCAGCAAAACGTAGGGCAGTACTGCAAACAGTGACATGAGGATAGGCTTGAGAAAAATCAAAGTAAAATGGAAAAGCACAAAGATAAAAATGATCAGAGAAAAGATGACAGACATGTAAGACTGACAAAGGAGATTCCACATACCCATGACTGATGCTCCTGAAGAAAAATGGAACAAACGGAACAGAAAAAATATTCAAAGACATAATAGAAGAAAACTTCCCTGACATTAAGGAAGATCTTAACACATTCCTAAAAAAAGATACAAAACAATCAACAGTGAAATTATTGAACTTCAAGAAAAAGGACTGTGTGGGCACCCAGAGGAAAAATAAGGTTCCTACAAGGGGCTGGCCTCACACTTCACAGTACTAACATTCAGTGCTAGAAAACAGTAAAGCAATGTCTGAGTATTAGAAAAGCAAGTGTGTGAGAAATTTATATCCAGTGAAATTGTTGTTTATATGTAAAAGCAACAGAGAACATTATGCAAAGACTGTAGGAATATATCAACCCTGTAAACTCTTTAATAAACCATTTGATGAATCTAACCCACCAATACACGAATTAAATAAAAAATTTAGGAATAAAAAATCATGTTATGGAGGAACTGGCTATATTCATTAAAACCATCAAAATATAAAACTTAGACCAAAATAGTTGAGGCAAATAAGGGCTCAGATAAGAATGTAAATGTTAATAAAGACACATTGTAAACATACCATACTTCCTCATTTCTAAGATGTACCTTTCTTATGTCTGAACATTTCTGAAATTGAGATAAACTCACAATAGATGCAGTATGAACATTTATTGTGATAGGCAGTGTTTTGTTTCTGGAAAAGTCTAATGATGTTGTAATGAGGAAATATGCTAATATAAACAAAACTCTGATAATTCCACATATATTATCACATATCTGTTCCCACCAGTTGTACTTGATTCTGTATCTCTTTTTGCCAGCTGTGTTAAAACTGTGATTTTGTAATTCTGTACACCTCTAAAATGAGTTCAAAAAAGGAGTTGTTTTTATGAAAAGCAAGTTTGAATTCTTTAGAAAGATTTAATCAAAATGTTTTGCTAAACAATAGATTGCTGCCAAATTAGGCTGGGGCAGAACAAATAAGGGACAAAATAAAAAAAAAAAAAAAAGGATTTTCCACCCATACTGCTTCACAAATGTCTACTGTTAACAATATATTTAGTGAATGTAGAAAACATTCCCAAAAGAGACTCAGATTAGACTAAAAACATAAACATAAAACCAACATATGATGTTACAATAGCAAAAAATAAGAATGTATGCATACTAATCCATTATGATATTCCCATACAACAGAATATTACACAGACATTTTTAAAAAAGAAAATATTCAGACTAAGTGCTGTGCCTCACAACTGTAATCTCAGTACTTTGGGAGACCAAGGTGGGGGGAATCTCCTGAGCCCAAGAGTTCGAGACCAGCCTAGGCAAAATTATGAGACCCTCATCTCTACAAAAAGCTTTAAAAACTTTCTTTTTTTTTTTTTGAGATGGAGTCTTGCTCTGTTGCCCAGGCTGGAGTGCAGTGGCGTGATCTCAGTTCACTACAAGCTCCACCTCCCAGGTTCACGCCATTCTCCTGCCTCAGCCTCCAGAGTAATTTTTTGTATTTTTAGTAGAGATGGGGTTTCACTATGTTAGTCAGGATGGTCTTGGTCTCCTGACCTCATGATCTGCCTGCCTTGGCCTCCCAAAGTGCTGGGATTACTGGCGTGAGCCACTGCACCCAGCCTTTAAAAACTTTTTTAAAAAAAAGAAGAAAAAAGAAATAAATTCACTCACTCACTGTATATATATATATATATATACACACACATAGAAAGATGTCCACACTACATTAAAAAACCAAAATCAGATCCTGCATTTTGTACACTTGCATGATTGTTAAAAAAGCAGCAAATATATAATACACATATATACGAATTTACACATATGTAAAGAAGATGTATAGAAAGATAACCAAGATAAGTAATAATAATAATGGTTACCTTGTGTATTTTTGAGAAAAATTCTGGATTGTTAATTCAAAATTTTAATACAATATATTTACATATGTTTTCAAGAATACTTTCCCTGCATACGAGATACACTTATTTCAAGGCAGATATGTGTTTTTTATTTTACCTCGCTAGGCCACCATAATCAAGTCCTTCTTCTCCTCTAAATATTACATATAAGCGCCTCCTCAAGTCATAGGGTTTTAATGCCATAATCTAATTAAAAACAAAAACATGAATATTAAATACATGCAGTACAAATTCCTTTCAAAACAATTTAAATTTAAACTGTATTTTCAAAATAACAGATTTCCTTATCTTATACAATGCTTTTAACTGAAGAGATGAATTGGTTTGTTTCACAAACTAGATAAAGACATACATTTCAATCTCTTAAGCTTTTCCTGACTCACTTTCACATACAGTTGACCCGTAAACAACATGAATTTAAGTCAACATGGTGACTGCACAGGTCCACTTATACCTGAAATTTTCTTCAGCCTCTGCCAACCCTGAGAAAGCAAGGCCAAGCCCTCTTCCTCCTCCTCAGCCTATCCAATGTGAAGACAATGAAAATGAAGACCTTTATGATGATCCACTTCTACTTAATGAATAGTATAAGTATTTTATCTTCCTTATGATTTTCTAAAAAACATTTTTTCTCTAGCTTACTTTAAGAATATAGTATATAATACATATATCATACAAAATGTGTTAACTGATTCTTTATGTTATTGGTAACGCTTCCAGTCAATGAGGTATTAGTAGTTCAGTTTTTGGGTCAAGTTTTTTTTTTGTTTTTTTTTTTTTTGAGACGGAGTCTCGCTCTGTCGCCCAGGCTGGCGTGCAGTGGCGCGATCTCAGCTCACTGCAAGCTCCGCCTCCCGGGTTTACGCCATTCTCTTGCCTCAGCCTCCCGAGTAGCTAGGATTACAGGCGCCCGCCACCTCGCCTGGCTAGTTCTTGTATTTTTTTTAGTAGAGACGGGGTTTCACCGTGTTAGCCAGGATGGTCTCGATCTCCTGACCTTGTGATCCGCCCGTCTCAGCCTCCCAAAGTGCTGGGATTACAGGCTTGAGCCACCGCGCCCGGCCATTTGGGTCAAGTTATATGTGGTTTTTCAACTGTGCAAGGGGTCAGCACTCCTAGCTCCTGTGTTGTTTAAGGGTCACCTATACTCTTTCCCCCTTCTGGTATTAAATGATAGTTCTACTTTGGGTTAACGGCAAGACAGGAAAAGCTTGACACAAAAGGCTTTTAAGGTTAAAAATATTATCTCCCCTGCTGGTTTCCCCAAACTGTACCAAAATCTTTCAACACGTGACTTGTAAATTTTTCTGACTAGCAGCACTTAGAGGCAAAAGACTTTGTTCTGCATCCTGCTTATACCGAACATTCCATTTCTTAGTAGGAAAGAAACTCAGCTATAATGACTAATTATTTATACAATGATGAATTTATTCACAGGCTAGTATAACTTAAAAACAATACCTATACCAAATTTTCATAATCTTTAATAGCTTACATCAAGGTTACTAGTAAGTAGGCTTTACTTTTGGATAGAAATATATTACATTCCACACATATGTCAGGACCAGAGCAAGACTGGCAGGTCTGGGTTGGAGCATAGCTCACCAGCATGCCTCCTTTGGGGCAGTCATGGGCTCAGTGCTATACATCAAATAGACCATGATTCTTCCCAAGACAGGGTAAAAAGCAAAATAAAGTCTATGAATTCAGATGTACACTTACTAAAATCAACCCAAACAGAAGTTGACCTATTTACACTTAGTTTGCCAAGAATTTATTAACTCAAAAGAAAAAAATCAACTTGATAATAGTTTAAGTATTATGCCCAAAGTCCAATAGTAAAATTAAGCTATGGCTTGAAATTCTCTTGGGGCTCAGAGTATCATTACTCCATTCTGGCTTGTACAAAGTATAAATAAAAGTCCCTGTATGCCTGAATACACAGCAAAATTTGGTTCATCACTGTGATACTAGAGGGGGAGGGAATAAGACGTCTCATTATGAAAAATTCTCCATCGGAAAAAAACTGACAATACAGTATTTGGATTATTTATCCTTAAATATTCTGCAGATGATTCAGGAAAGGTAGAAATACTGCATTCATTTATTCGCTCATCAAATATTTATTGAATACCCTATATGTGCAAAGGCACTATTCTAGGTACTAGGCAGAACAGCAGTAAACCAATAGTCTCTGCTCTCATGGAGTCACATTCTAGTAAGGAAGACAAAATACACTATGTTGGGTGGTTATGAAAAAGAATAAAGCACCATAAATGGCTGGAATGTGACTGTGAGGGAGAAGAGCAGGACTGCCATCTTAAAATAGTAAGCTCAGAGAAGGTCTCTCTGAGATCACATTTAAACAGAAACGTAAAGGTGAGAATAAACAGTTATTAAAGGAATACTCAGATGGAATACAGTATCTACCAATTTAATTTTAATTTGATAGCATTATCAAAACTTTGAGGTAATAAATTCTTAGCCAAGTATTAAGTGTCGAAACAAGAATCAACTCATTCCAAAAGCTGTTTAGGCTTTATTTTAGTAAATACACGTCTAAATTCATGATAGAATGATTGTCTCTCAGTCTCAGTACCTTCACCTATAACATGGAGATACAATAAGAGCTATCTCAAAGAGATGCTGTGAGGACGAATGAAATAAAATGAGAAATGTAAGATGCCGGTGTTTTACAAATGATATTCACTCAGTTTATGGTAGGGTTTAGTGTAACTATTATTAAAATGGCCAGATGCAGTGGCTCAAGCCTGTAATCCCAGTACTTTAGGAGGCCAAGGTGGGTGGATCACTTGAGCCCAGAGTTCGAGACCAACCTGGGTAACATGGCAAAATTCCATCTCTATTAAAAAAAAAAAAAGGCACTCAGTAAGTGGCGGTGGCAGTCATTATTATTATAGCTGTGTTCTGGGTGGTTTAAAAATTTCTAAAACCGTAACTTTATTTAGATGTACAGAATACAATGAGACAAATAGTATTTTATTCTGCTAAAATCCTCCTTACCTGTTGGAAGGAATCTTCAAACAATGTCTGCCGGGACACATTGATCTTTACATGACTGGGTAGTGCATTAGACTAAAGACAAAAACAATATCATAATATCATCTAAGTTATAGTATATGTATTGTATAAAGATAACACTAAATTATTGTGAGTATAAGATTTATTTACCACTGTAGTACCTGGCACAAATAACGGAAGTGAGCAAGTTTCCACCTAAAGCTGCGTTCATAAGCAATTTGTGGACCACCTTTAGTTCTAAAGAAAAACAAAAAGAAACCAAATTAACTCATAATAAAGTTGAATACTTAGTATTCAGTATGAAATCAGAGGTCCTAAAGTCCTACAAAATACCACAGGAAGTTTTTTGCTGGGAGAGAAGGGTATACATACATGGTGGGCCAAAAGCAGCTCAAGTAATGGGGACTACTACAGCAACAGGACACACACATACACAAAGAGGGACACTGTATTTATGCTGGGTCTTTGGTTAGTGAGTTAAATGAAATACCAAAGTCTACTACAGACTATTTCAAAGAAAATATTTGATAATCCTTAAATCTAAGGAGGACAGAGGCTCCAGACAGTAGAGACGTGGAAGGAAATTCTATCCCATCCTAAGTCTAACCTAAAACTCAAACAAATATTCCTGGAGATAATAAGCAGAGCAAAATCAAATTCCTAGAAACAACATTGTCATCCAGATGACACGGTTCAGGCGGTCAGTGAGAGAAAAGGCAGAGTTGGTGGCATGGCACCTGGGAATACAGGTTTCACAACATGGTCTGACTCACAGTAACAGAGCCTGGATCTCTTCTCTATTGACTGAGGGCCTGACAAGCACAAATCACTTTCATAATCTTAAGGAACACTTTGGAACAGATGAAAAATGTTCTCTTGCATTGTCAGGTTCAAGTGAATTCACTTATTCAAGCATTTACTGAAAGGATAGCTGGTACCTGGCTTTCTTCTAGACAGTGACGGCATTACTTATTAATAGGTAAAAATGCCTGTTTTGTGGAGCTTATGTACTAGTGAAGAGATAAGTAAAGTACAAATGTCTTATCACTCTTGACCTAAAACAATAAAAAAGGCATTGTTAAAAGGACAAAGGATAAGGAGTGATATGACAAGTATTTTGTAATTTTCAAAAGGGTAAAAAGAGTAGAGCTCATACACAAAGCGACATTTGAGCAAAAACATGAAGGAGAGGGCATAAGCCATATGGAGATTTGGGAAAAGAGCATACCCAGCAGACGGTGTAAGGGCTAAGACCCAAGGTGGAAGCTGACGGTGTTGAAGGCACAGCTAGTGGCCAATGAAGCTGGAACATGGTGAATAAGGAGGAGCGAAAACCAAGAAGAGGTTGAAGAGATGAGAGGGGTCAGATCCTGTAAGGCCATTACTGTGCTTTTTACTCCAACTGAGATGGAAACCACTGAAGGGTTTTGTGCAAACAAATGGCTTTTAATTTAACTTTTGTTTTGGAAAGTCAGTCTCTGTGCTGTACGGAGAATAACACAACATTGTACGAGGTATGGGAAGAAAGCAGGGAGAGGACTCTGCTACCAAGCCAGGCAACAGACAATGGTAGCCTGGACCAAAATGGTGGCAATGGGGGTGGTGAGACAGCTGGACTCTAGATATGCTCTGAAGCTGAGGTAACTAGAATTCTTGATGGGCTGTTTGTAAGCTAGGAGAGAAAGAGGAGTTGTGGATGATTCCACATTTTTTTTTCTAAGATGGAGTTTTGCTCTTGTTGCCCGAGCTGGAGTGCAATGGTGCAATCTCAGCTCACTGCAACCTCTGCCTCCAGGGTTCAAGTGATTCTCCTGCCTCAGCCTCCTGAGTAGCTGGGATTATAGGCGCACACCATCACGCCCAGCTAATTTTACCATGTTGGCCAGGCTGGTCTCGAACTCCTGACCTCAGGTGATCCACCCACCTCAGCCTCCCAAAGTGCTGGGATTACAGGCCTGAGCCACCATGCCCAGGTGATTCAAAAAATTTTGACCCAAGTACATGCTAGAGTAGAGTTATCATCAACTGTGTGACAGGGAGTATCACAGGTAGGGCTGGGTTTTTGTTGTTGTTTTGTTTTTGTTTTGTTTTGTTTTTTTAGAGATGGGGTCTTGCTATGTTGCCCAGGCTGGTCTCAAACTCCTGGGCTCAAGTGATCTACCTGCCTCAACCTCCCAAAGTGCTGGGATTACAGGTGTGTGCCACCATGCCTGGCCAGAGAGCAGGTTCTACAGGACCTATCAGGAAGGAGTTACAAGTGGAGATGTCAATAAGCAGCTGAATATAGAAAGCAAAATTTCAAGTGAGAAGTCTGAGCTAAATTTGTGAGTCATTAGCAGGCAGGTGTTTTAAAAGTGTAATACTGAATAGGATGCACCAAGAGAATGAATGTAGTTTTTTTTTTTTAAAAAAAAAAGGGCTGAGGAAAAAAAGGAGGACTCGGCAAAATAAAGAAAAAAGACCAGAAAGGCAGAGGGAAATCAAGAAAGTATGGTTCACAGCACTACTTTTGCCAGGAGAGAGAAATGTATTATGTCAAATGTTCCTGATAAGTCCAATCAGACAGTACTTCAGACCAATGCCTGGATTAACAATGGGAAGATCATTGGTGCCCTTGCAAATTCAGTGTTACGGGAACTTCCTGGAGTTGGTTTAAAGGAGAAACTATGAACAGCAATACAGAGACAACCGTGCAAGTAGCTTTCCTGTAAACGGGAGCAATAAAAATGAATTGTGGGCTGGGTGTGATGGCTCACGCCTGTAATCTCAGGACTTTGGGAGGTCAAAGCGGGTGGATCGCCTGAGGTCAGGAGTTTGAGATCAGCCTGGCCAACATAGCAAAACCCCATCTCTACTGAAAATACAAAAATTAGCTGGACATGGTGGCGGGTGCCTGTAATCCCAGCTACTCGGGGGGCTGAGGCAGGAGAATCGCTTGAACCCAGGAGGCGGAGGTTGCAGTGAGCTGAGATCACATCATTGATTGCCCTCCAGCCTGGGCAACAGGAGCGAAACTCCATCTCAAAAAAAAAAAACACACACACACACACAAATGAACTGTGTAATCGAACACATTGGTTTGGTAAAGGGAAGAGTTGTAATTTTTTTTTTTGCTTTTTTTTTTAAATCTAGGAGAAATAACAGCTGATAAGAATAATTTAGTGGAGAAATAAAACCTGATAATTCAAGACAAAGGTGGTAACTGTTGGAGCAATTAAGTAGAAAAGTGGTGGTAGGAATCGAATGTACCAGCAGAGGGAGCAGACTTTGATAATAACAATGACAGTTCATCTACAGAACAGGAGGGAGGAGAGGTGGTAGGAGATGCACAGATATGGTGGTACAAATTTGCAAAAGACCTTTTATGATTGCTTCTACTTTCTTAGTTATGCAAAGACATTACACCTTAGAGTAAGAATGAAGGAGACATCTGTCAACTGCTTAATTAAGTTATCTTTAAATCTGGAAAATCATTTCACTGACCATCTCATTGCAGCAGTGTCATGTGGCAGTTAAGAGCACAGAGTCAAGAGACAGACTGACTGTCATAGTTAGAAACCAGCTCCACTACTTGCCTTATAACTTTGCACAGTTAGTTACACTCCCTGTATCTCTCCTCACTTGGTAAAGAGAAAAATAATAGTATCTACCTCAAGGGGTTATTGGAAGATAAAATGAGTTAATACCTATGAAGTACTTAGAACAATCCTTGGCACATAGTAATCACTACATAAATAGTTGCCATTGCTATTATTAAGGAATGACATGCTGCAAATCCATCGTCAAATGAGAGCAAAGACAGCTATACTAACGTATCACTTGTGTAGGTTTTCTTGAACCAAAAAGTAAAATATTTTTCTAAACTTGAGGATAAGTTAGAGACTAACTCTCATGTGCTCACTAAGCAACATTTAAAGGAGAACCTCAGGTTTTCACTCACACAGATGACTTCCCATTGCGAGGATCTTTGAATGTTGTTGTTCTTGTGTTATGATCAACAAAGTACCTTACACCTTCACGAGTGTATCTAATTTCCCAGCCTTCTGGCAGGGGTTCTTCATTCTGTAAGCTAAAAGATAAAGTTAAAATCACAAGATGAACATTTTCTAGGTACTAAAAATATCTCATTCAAGGTTGGTTGATTCTACCTACAGATATATGCAAGATGATTTAAGGCTGCTGTATATACATACCCTTGAGTTCTTGGATCTTCCCATTGGGTTGTTTTTGTGTTGTGATTCACAAAGTAAACCCTGTCTGTTGAATCCACTCTTTTCTCTGAAATATAAAGTGACCATAATATTTAATAACTATTTGGGATCTATATATAAAATAAGGAATATATATATGATTATTATATATTATATATAAATATATATAAAAATATATCAGGGATATATGTATCGCTTATATGTCTTATAGAATATATACAATATATAATCTATTCTATACATAATATATATTATATAAATAATTATATATTATATAAATAATAATATATATTATATATTATAAGGGGTATATATTAAGGGATATATATAAGGGAGATATACATATAAAATAAGGGATATATATATGGAGATATATATATCTCCCTTACGGATCATTAGCAAAAACATAACGGCTTACCCCAGCCTGGTGGCAAAGGTCCATAAGGGTCATTTTCTGCAGCTAACATTGAGGCCTGATTGGAGAAAAGATTGGGGAGAGAAATAAAATAACAGTATTTTAATATGGAAGTGGAAATAAGCCAAGTGCATGGCAGAATCACATTTTATAATAATTTTCTAAAAATATGATAAGGGGCTGGGCACAGTGGCTCACGCCTGTAATCCCAGCACTTTGGGAGGGCAAGGTGGGAGGATTACTTAAGCCCAGGAGTTCAAGACCAGCCTGGAAGACCCTGTCTCTATTAAAAAAATTTTTTTTTTAATTAGCCAGACATGTTGGCACATTTGCCTAAAGTCCCAGCTACTTGGAAGGCTGAGGTGGGAGGATCACTTGAGCCCAGGAGGTGGAGGTTGCAGTGAACTGTGATCACACTACTACTGCACTCCAACCTGGGCAACAGAGCAAGAAGCTATCTCAAAAATAGATCTATATTATTAGATAGATAGATAGATAGATAGATAGATAGATAGATAGATAGATCGATCGATCTACATAATAAGGAAATGTAGCAATTTCAAGACACAAAGTTCTTTGTTTTTTTGAGACAGGATCTTCCTGCTCTATTACCCAGACTAGGGTGTAGTGGTGTGATCTCAGCTCACAGCAGCCTCTGCTTCCCAGGCTCAAGCAATCCTCCCACCTCAGCCCCACCAAGTAGCTGGGACTACAGACATGCACCACCACACCTGGCTAATATTTGTATTTTTTGTAGAGACAAGGTTTTGCCGTGTTTCTGAGGCTGGTCTCGAACTCCGAGGCTCACGTGATCCACCCGCCTCGGCCTCTCACAGTGCTGGGATAACAGGTGTAAGCCACCACTCCCAGCCAAGACACAAAGTTCATAAAACGTCATGAAGAGGAGACTATCAACTAATCAAATTAATTATTAGTTTTTCTAAAATGATTTAAAAATAATACACTGGCATCAGTACTTTACTCTCCCAGTCCTTCCATACTAAACTATAGAGGGAAGATTAAATGGGAGAAGAACATACAGGAAATTGATGTTTAAATGAGGCAATATTATTTGTTTAAAAATAGACCAATTATCACAATTTTCTTTAAAACAAATGCCCACTAATAAAACTAACACTCAACTCCAGTACCATTTATAGAAATAAACTTTTAATTAGTATCTTTTATATTTTCATGCATACATAAAAACACATTTTTATGTAAGCCTCCATTCTTATTATAACCTAGAAATATATTCTGAGGAAAATATAAGCATTCTATCAAGAATTTTATAATAATGACAAATGTAAAAATAATTACCTGAAAAATAATTTCTTAAAGTAAATGCATCTTGATGAATATAATCTTGTAACAGACCCTGTTAATTATACTCAATATTTATCTTCCACCTGTTCTTGAGAACCAAATCCCTGCTTTGTTGGAGGTAGAAACGTGGCCATAAAGATCATTCCATCCCCCTTCCCTTGCAGCTGAGCTGGTAGAGTGAACAATTCTGGCCAGTGAAGTATAGGCAGAGGCCATGGTAAGGGCATCCTTCACTAAGTAAAAAAGGCAAGGGCTTGCAACAACAGAGCCATCTGCCCTTTCAATTCCTCTTTCTCTTTCTTCTTGCCTAGACTATGGATGTGAGGCCCACAGTGTAGAGTTCCATATAAACGAAGTAAAAGGCCTGAAGTGTGATACGGATGGCAGAGCATAAAGGCAGAAAGAACCCAGGTCCTTGATGACACTACTGAGTCAATGCAGCACTTAGACTTTTACCCCAGACCTGATGTTGTACTGAGATAATTAAACCTCAATGTGTTTAAGGAGATTCTATTACTTGCAAGATAACATTCTTCTGATACGCATCTGTTACCTCATTCTGCCCTGTTCACCAAAGGTTTTCAAGTGTACAGGTAAGTCCAACCAAAACCAAAGCTATATGTATTACTTTTTATGTATGTATATAGCTATATATATTACTATATATACCATATGGTATAATTACTATATACAGCTAAACTATGGAACCTTACCACTGATTTCTGTACAAGTCATGGAAGAACCAGCAATTGAAGGCAGCAGGAAACGCTATAGAAACTAGGCTGCCCACTCCCTCCCTGCTAGCTACATATAACCGGGAGAGTAGGTCAACCTGCAAATGAGAACTTACTATTTAACCTCTGAAAAAAAGGTGGTCGAAAGAGTCAGACTGTAACAGGATTTTGGAGGAAGTTACTTACATTTTCTTTCTATGTCTCTTTCCTACTTCCTTTCTATCTGCTAACTGCTACACTTTAGGTCTCAAGGTGCCTCAAAACACTATCTGTAGTTGCCCAGTACTTTAAAATTTATCTTTTCTACCTCCTATGATCACACCATTTATCAGAGGAGTTTTGTTTTGTTTTTTCCACTTCTCTCACGGATGTTTGCTTATGGCAATAAGTAAATCCCCAATTGGTCAAATTTTCAGACAGTGTTAGACTTTTTGGACAAAACTTTCAAGTTCTAGAAATATCTCTTATGGGACAAAACAGATGAACGTTGCTTCTTAGAATCTGGGAAGAGAATCAGAATAGCTATAATACTGCAAGACTGGCTCTAAGGTAAAATCATAAGGTAAATGGTTATGTTGAAAGCAAACAAAATTATTATAAAAGTGAAGGATTGAAAATTAGCAAAAATATTATTTTACGAAGAATTGCATTTATGAAACTACCCCTTAGTAAGGATATAAAACTTAGTGTGTAAGTTATGTTACTAAACTAGAATATTTTAAATTATTATAAAGTGCATATATATATATATATATCAGAAACACTATTTATTAAAGATTAAAAAATATCTTGTAACACAGTCTATACTATTTCTAAAAATCACCAAAACAGATATGTGATTATGGTCAAGGGATAGCAAAAAAAAAAAAAAGAAAGAAAAAAAAAAAAGGGAAAGAAAAATCACCATAATAGAGAAGGACAAACAAATAAGGGAGGAAGTTATGTAAACAATCTTATAATTTGCTAATTACCGAATAGAGGTATCGTTGGTTAAACTGTTGCATAGCTCCCTGCAATTGGTTCCGCTGAGATTGCCACTGTTCAAAATTTCGGACAGATTCCATGGTAGGCCGCTGCCACGTTGTTGTTCTGGTGTTATGATCCACATAATAAACTCTTCCACGATCATCAACTCTTCTTTCCCAACTACCACAAATAAACAATAATAAAAATAAACAATAATCTCTCAATATAAGAAAATGAAAAGCAGTTATTACTTCACTCACTTTAAATATCAAGACATGTTAAAATACCTAAAACATGAAACTATGAACTATTTATTTTAGCTACATTACCTTCCCATTCTACGACTAATACCTTTTTATTTCCTTTAGTCACTGTAATGTTTAGTCCCGCACTAGAAGAGGTTGCTTATTTTTATTTTTTTTTAAATTTTACTTTAAGTTCTGGGACACATGTGTAGAACACGCAGGTTTGTTATACAGGTATACATGCGCCATGGTCGTTTGCTGCAGCTATCAACCCATCAGGTTTTAAGCCCCTCAAGGGGAGGGAGAGCATTAGTCCTAATATAATTTCTAAAACCTGTCTAAAAAGAGGCCACTGAAAGAACAGTTTCAGTATCAATCTGGCTATCCGTTTTCTCTCTTTTTTTTTTTTTGTGAGATGGCGTTTCGCTCTTGTCACCTAGGCTGAAGTGCAATGGCGTGATCTCAGCTCACTGCAACCTCTGCCTCCCAGGTTCCAGTGATTTTCCTGCCTCAGCCTCCTGGGTAGCTGGGATTACAGGCACAGACCACCATACCCAGCTAATTTTTTGTATTTTTAGTAGAGACGGGGTTTCACCATGTTGGCCAGGCTGGTCTTGAACTCCTGACCTCAGGTGATCCTCCCACCTCTCAGCCTCCCAAAGTGTTGGGATTACAGGCATGAGCCACCGTGCTCGGCCTCTCCTTCTTTCTTTGATAAGCATTTACTGACAGTGCTTGCTGTATACCAAGCAATCTGCTCTATAGCCAATACCCATGTTCAGGATGAGTTAACTGAACTCTTTTTATTACTTTTTAACTCACCTTCCTGCCATTATATTGCTGCCAATTTTCTTCCTGAAACACAGGTGGACTCCATGTCATTCCACCCATGATGGATCACTGGCATGGCATAAAAATGAACTGTCCACATTTTCAGTCTCATCTCCCTGAGATCCTACAAGGGTCTCACGTGAGAGTCTAACCAACTATTTGCTGGTTCCAAGGGTGTCATGAGTTGAATTTTGTCATGCTTTTGCCTCACAGAATACCCTTCCCTATATCTCTACCAACTAGAATTCTACTCATCCTTGAGGGTTCATGCCAACTTCCACCTGTTCTACACATGTAGGATCTATTAAACCAATTTTTATCATTAATTCATGAAATGATTGTAAACTCCTTTCAGCAAGCAATTATAAATTCCTTAAACTTATTACTAAAAATACAATGGGGTCACAAAGACAATAATAGACGCTAAAGATGAAATTAAAGACAACCTCTGCCTAATTTTTGGACAACAGTTTCAGTGAAATAAACCCCATGTCATGGCACTCAATGAATGGGCTAAATGAATGACTATAACTTGATGATCCTGTCAGAGTTAAAATGAACTTCACGGTTTGCTATATTGCAATATTGGCGCCATGTTTTCCAATAAGTTCTCATTTAATACTGTAGAATCAAGGCCTGAGTGCTTTGTTCCATAAAACAGAAATATCCCACAAAAATAACATTTCTCTGCCTTAAGTTTTCTAGATTGTGAATGTGTTTTATAATGGTGGGCTTTAAATTGAATCTGGAAGGGAAATCTGAGTATCTAAGAAATATACTTCAGGTACACACAGAATGTGTGAGATAAATAAATGCAAATAGTACAATTTGACTAGCTATCAGTGCAGTTATGTAGACAGTTATGAAAAAATACAAAAGTAAAGGAAGACTCGTTTGTGAATGGCCTTGAATGACAGCCTAATAGCATGAATTTTAGTATGTAATAAAAACTTTATTAATTTAAAACTTTCTACAATTTTAGGCATAAGTTCACTCATGGAGACCTTTGTAGATTATAGTTTTGGGCCACTTTAATATTTAAGTCATTAAATCTTATGAAATAACATACTTTAGATCACTATCCTTGCAGAACCATACATATAAACTGTCCTAAATGTTACCTTTCTTTCCTTAAAAAAATTACAAGGAAGGACTGACAACTGACCAAATTTTGCAACTTCTCTCAGTAACTCATGCCAATGCTTGACAGTCTCTTGAAGAAGCCCTACAGACTATCTAGTCTCATTGACTGAACATTCATTATTTATACAAGGAAATTTAAAGAAACTGAATATATGCAGAATGAAAGAATCAAATTATGCTGTACTAAATGAATGTGAAAACCACATATGTGATAAAATATAACTGCAGATGCACAAAGATGCTATATTACCCTGGAGGTAAAGGTTGTGGTCTCTCCCATGTGGTAGTTCGAGTATTATGATCCACATAATAGGTTCTACCATGAGGATCTTTTCTTTGTTCCCACCTTTAATAAAAATACAAAAATAACAGTAAGAGACAACACACTAAGACAATCTTCCTAGTAATCAGAATGACTGAATGACTCTTCCTTATAATCAGAAAAATTACAGATAAGCTTTACATTAAAAGACTATAAACACACATACACAGCTATATATAAAGGCTATTATATATATACATAAGTGTTCATTTTCTCAATTATTAGTACTTTTTTAACCTCTTAATTATTCCCTTTTTATTACAGTATTGGAAACTCAAAAAGTATAGTTAGCAGAAAAGGAATACAATACCCCACATTTTAAAAAGTTACTTATAGAATTCCAAATTATCAGAAAGCAGAAATTGAATCAAGAATAAAGAAACTTTCAGCTTAATATTAAATCCAAGGCACAAAATGTCTATGAAGTAATACATTGATTTTGCTATAATTTCAAAAGTACCCATCTAAAAGATTTTTAGCCGAAATAGCCTTAAAGAAGTATGTGGTGATACTGCTCCATGAAAATTCTTTCATCTGTGTGCACAGTGTCTTTTCTTTGTGCATATCTATCCCAATTTTCGTTTTGGTAGGTCTCAGAACTTATGGAAATTACATTTTATCTTTTTCATATTCTATTTTGAAGACTCTCAATCTCTCGTTTCTACCATTCTCATTTTTTCTTCTGTGATTCCTGTTAATTTCTCTTCAGTCTTTTCTTAATATGGTATAGAAAAATAATTTTTTAAAATAAAAACTGGTGGGCCAGGCATGGTGGCTCATGCCTGTAATCCCAGCACTTTGGGAGGCTAAGGAGGGTGGATCACCTGAGGTCAGGAGCTGAAGACCAGCCTGGCCAATATGGAGAAACCCCGTCTCTACTAAAAAAAAAAACACACACACACACACACACACAAAATTAGCCAGCCATGGTGGCACACACTCCTGTAATCCAAGCTACTTGGGAGGTTGACACATGAGAATTGCTTGAACCCAGGAGGTGGAGGTTGCAGTGAGCCGTGATTGCACCACTGCACTCCAGCCTGGGCGACAGGGCAAGACTCTGTCTTAAAAATATAAAATACAAATAAATAAATAAACAAACAAAAACTCATACTTCTGAGTTTAAGACTCTTGTTTTCAATTTTAAAATAGAATAACCAGAAAATATTTTCCTTTTTCTTTAACACAAGAACTCAAGAAGGTAGTGTTTCGGAAGGGACATGAGAGAGTATTCCTGGGGTGCTGTCAATGTTCTCTTTCGTGACTTGTGTGATGGTTACAAATGTGTATTTTGTGAGAAATCAGCTTCATCTATATATTTTGAAGGAAAGTACTTTTCTGTGTGTATGTGAAGTTTCACAATAAGAGATTCTGTTTTTAAATGTGAGTGCTTATCAAGAAGCCCTAACTTGGAATGGTGAGTTTTGATAAGTTGTCCTGCACCAAGAGGGAGGCTCAAGGATCTCCCATAAAGAATCCAGCACTTTTCCCTCCTACCTTCCTTCCCCATCTGCAAAGTTTTGAGGATCAAATCGCTTTTCCCTATTATTTGTTAATATGGTAAATTTATATTTTCAAATATTAAGTCAATCTGTGAGAACCCCCCCAAAAAGAACCCAATTAAATTTATTTTATTAAGAGTGCCGAAGTTATTTTATTTTTATACACGATAACTATATATACTGAAACTACTCCCTAGTTTGCACCCATAAACACATACATACTTAAGATGACAAATACACACAAAAAATTAAAAAATTTGTTTAGTCTGCATCTAACAAACCTAAGTCACAAAACGCTTAAGTAGTAACCATAAACAATAAAGATTCCCAAGTTCAGAACTGACTTAGGATCACAAAAATTATTAAACTTGCCTATTATATCCTACACTGGAACACTCAAGATATTCAGTACTGTAAAAACTTAGATATTCCTTATAAAGCATTTCACTAAAATCAGACAATCTGAAAGTTATGATTAACTTTATTTGCTTATATAAAAAGCTCACAGGAAAGGAGTTAAATATAAAATTTCATTTTAAAGGCCTTTCAGGAGTATGTCTAACATGTACCAATGGGCTATTCTGTATGAAAGCTTAACTACCAAAACCAAATGAATACCTAAAAACCTGATCAAGTTTCACTTTTGCTATTTTTAGGTAATAATTCCCATACACAGTCCTTGAATTTTTATTGCTATCCTATAGCAAAATTTCCTGGTTTCAACTGTTTCTTCACAAATATCCTTTACTATTTTTAATTTGGCTTTAATTTTTATCAAAATTACATATACTTCCAGATAGTTTAATATATACCTTCATAGCTATATAATTATATATACCTTCACATAGTTTAAACAGAGTCATATAGTCTATGAGACTTATTGCAAAAAACAACAGTACTTACTGTCTTTTTCACTTCATTTTCCACTCCCCAAGGCAACATTTTCAACTTTGTTTCAGTCCATTTTTTTTGGTATTTACTTCTTTTACTTATCAACTTCCTTGATTTATTGTAACTTGTTTAATTTCAAACACAATGTATTGACATTTTACTAGGAAAGGTGAAGCTGCAGGTCTCTCTCCTGCACACACACACATCTACACTTACCCTCCTCCCAACCATTCCAAATATATACATATGTTGTACCTTCCCTTACAGTTATCATTATGACTATATAAACTCCCCACAGCTGAGCACAGAACATACCCCGATTTCTTTTTTAAAAAAATACTATTAGCTAGAAAAATTATCTCCACTTCCATTTGCTTATTGTCTACATTCTTATCGTTAAACCCCAAATACTTTTCCAATTGCATAAATCTCTTAAAACGTTCAAGCTCGTTAGCTGTTCTATGATTGCACCTGTCTTCTGATTAGCTTCTAGTCTAGACTGTCTGCTGTCTGAGGCCACTCTGTGCTTTCCTTCATCATTGTGCAGGCATTCCTTTCACTCCTCTCCTAGCAGACCCTCTAATTCCTGCATCCAACATCTTTTACTTTAACTACCTAGTTTTGGGAAAACACAAGTCCTAGTAGCTTTCTAAGAAGACATAAGAAGTGAACTTTTGGAAACCTAGGATATGAAAAATTGTATTTATTCTATGCAAACACTAAACACTGTGTCTAGATACAGATCATATGTTGGGTATAATTTCCTTCCACATCTAAGGCATGGACTCACTGTCTTCCACTCTCTTCTAGCTTTTCATGTTGATTCTAGGAAATCTGATGCCATTCTGATTATTATGAAACCTGCTTTATTTTTTCAATCTCTGAAAATATTTAGAATTTAATTGGCCCAAATGTACTAAAATTTTCACAACCAATTATCTTAAAATAAATGTTTTCATTTATCATCCTGGATTTTTAGTGAGCCTTTTCAATAAGAAATTTGTGTCTATTCTTCAATAAAGAAATTTGTGTTTGTTATTTTGTTAAGGACTTCCTCCTATTTTCTCTCTTTCTAGAACTTTTCTTATCAGACTATCTGAACTGATCCTTATGTGTTACTCTCTGGCAAATTTCTTTACCTTTATCAGTCAAACTTTCCACTGAATTAAATTTCCAAGAGTTTTTTAGTCCTTTGAGTATTCCATTTTTATAGCACTGGGTTCTTGTTTTATGTATGTCATATCTACTTCTATCCTTCAGAGGATATTAAAATAGTCTCTTTTTTTTTTGGATGGAATCTCACTCTGTCACCCAGTCTGGAGTGCAGTGGTGCGACATTGGCTCTCTGCAACCTCCGTCTCCCAGGTTCAAGCGATTCTTCTGCCTCAGCCTTTTGAGTAGCTGGGACCACAGGCATGTGGCACCACGCCTGGCCAATTTTTGTATTTTTATTAGAGGCAGGGTTTCACCATATTGGCCAGGCTGGTCTCGAACTCCTGACCTCGTGATCTGCCCGCCTAGGCCTCCCAAAGTGCTGGGGATTACAGGCGGGAGTCACCGTGCCCAGCCCTAGTCTGGTATCTTAAAACAGTATTTTCTAGGTTGTTTGTTTTGATATCTATCTTTCAAATTAAGAGGTTTCCCTCAGATGTCTAATGAGAAGGGCACCGAAAACTGGGAGTTTTATGTGCCTGGGTGGGGCTTGTGGATTGCGGGATTAAATAAAGAGTGGGGCTGTTTTGTTAGAGAACAATCTATACTAGTATTTTCAGTGTTTTGGGGAGGTCTTCAATAGAAGATACTGTCAGTCTCCTGGGTGAAGAGGTAAAATCCTGGGTGTCAATATTCTGGGATCTGGGTTGGGTGTATATTTGAAAATTTACTTTACAACCTTCTTTACTTATTAACCTTTCAAAGGTTCACTTATGTCTGCTGATTTAGGACAGTATTTCTGACCTCCAATGTGCCTGGTGTTCCCAAGCGTCAAGTATCTCCAGTGAGGAAACCCCTAGGCAGAGCAGAAGTTCTGGCTGCAGGGAAGGGAATTAGGGTTTCTCAAACATTCAATCTTGCCATTTACAGTGTCATCTTCACTACCACTTCCAAAGGTATCCGATGCTGCCAATGCGTATTCTGAGCTTTTCCCAATGACAGGCCAGAATCCAGCTCTCTTGGGTTTGCTAACTGAGGTGCACTTAACCATCCTCCAAATGACTGCAGCCTCCACCAACAGCTTGATGGCAACCTCATAAGAACCCCAAGTAGAAGCACCTAGCGAATGCACTTCCTTATTCCTGATGCTCAGAAACTATGTGAGATAAGTTTTGGGGTAATTTATTATACAGCAATAAATAATACACAAGGAAGCACTACAAACCATTCAAAAGAATTAAGGGAGACCTACATATTAGACCATATGCTCCACAGAGTTTGGACCTTCATCTGTTTTGCTAATCAGTATACTAACAGCACCTAGCACAGAGGCTGCCACAAAGAGTTTAATAAATATTTGTCAATTAAATATTTGATCAATGTGTGAATTTATTTGTACTGATTTGGAAATATGACTAAGTTGTTTTTTTAAACCAACTGAAAAGCTATACACAGTATGATCCTATTTATGAAAATATT